GTGTTACAAGATCACTCGATAAAATCATGAGACAAATACAATGTATAGAGCATTTAGACTAAGGAGGTGGAATATAACAGCTGATTCAGGATCATTCATACTCAGGTGGTGCAATTATCTATACAGACGGCTTTGTGTTGAGAATCAGAAGATGTGAGTTGGAGTTCATTTTGAAAACAAATGGAAACGCTTTTTTGCAACAAAGTCTAGTGACCGAGTGTAAGATAACTGCAACAACTAGTTTGATAATGGAGGTGGAAGCAGTCATAGCAACTGTCTGCTCGCTTGAGGACCAGTTGCACGCACATGCCGTTATTGTATACTTAACAAAATTGAAAGAACAAAGTGTCATTTTGGCAAAACATGGCTGACGGTGACAATCATATACTTGTATTGACTTTCTGTTTTGGATTTTGGTGAGCATCATTAGACATCATCATCATGTAGCAGGTCCTTTGCAGAACGTCGCTCTCATCACAGTCTGCCTGAAAGAAACTCGGTCTCTCGCCAGTTCTCCCGCCTCATCACACTCAAGAAGCCAAATATATCCTGTGCCTTTCTTCGTGTTGGTCGGCCCCTGCCGCTCCTTCTTGGTACCATGCCTTCTGTTTTTATTTTTTTCCAATCCGTCGTGGCGCTTGATATGACCACAATATTTCATCTTTCATTAGCCACAATATATATATATATATATATATATATATATATATATATATATATATATATATATATATATATATATATATATATATATATATATATGTGTGTGTGCAGGCGAAAATTTGTGGGAGACTGATCACCTCTGGGACTGTCAGATGTGCAACGCCGGATGTTTGGTGTTCAAACGTTTGAAGACATCGCGTTCTGTGCTGCGGCTTGCACCAGGGCTGTTTACTGTGTACTCTTTTCAAAATGGCTGCAAGATATAGATCGTTGCAAATCAGTCTTGTTTTGCGTTAATAATAGTGCAATGCATATAAATAAATGAACATAAATAAATCAGAATAAAGCTCTTTTGAATCTAATTATCAGCAATAGTAATAATTCATTAAGGAAAAAGAAAACTTGTGCAGAAAAGGCCCCTTAATATGTTTATGACGTCATTGATTTATGCGTTCGAGGTCTCTTCTTTTATTTTAGAACGCATCGTTTGAAAACCAGACTTGCCTGCTGATTAAAAAAGCATATATTCTTTAAAGTAAGGCAGCGAACGCGTACGTTTCTATGTAAGTAAATCACTTGTGATGCACTTAAAAATATTATAGCGTGTAAATGATACACAGTTATGTTTTTAAATTGCATTTATCATAGCTTGCTTGTCAGTGCATGGTAACCAATTATCGATATGTGAGTATTTTCTTAAAACGTTTTGCGGGTGCGTGTTGAATGTTGATTAAATCTGCAACTTAAACGTAAAGCAACAATGAAAATTGTAAATATGACAGATTGTGTATTCGTATTTCACTATTGATAAATATTGTCGACTCGACTGCTTTGGATATATTGTATTCACCTGACAGTGTTTATCTATCGCCGAACTGAGAATTGCACAGCAAACTCAAACATTGTTGTCTGACGCGATCGACGGACTGTACTTTTAATCTTGGCACTATTTTAGTATTTTGTCAACTACTGTTGTCAGATTTTGAAAACGTTTTGCATCATATTAATTTGCATTTTCATTACTATTTAAGTGAATTAATTAATGTCATGTTTGTCTTTTCAACGTTTAGCTAGGTACTTCAGTCAAATTTTTAAAATGCCCTCTACACCAATAAAACCAGCACAGTTAGATAGCTGTAAACAATCTCTTTCCAATGGTACCTCATTTAGGCTTCTATGTCATTTCTGAGTTGAGATATGTAGGTTTTTGTGGAGATGAGATGTAAGAAACAGCCGCTAAAACTTGTGACCCAGAAACAAGAAGTTTTTTGACTGCGCAACCTACTGCGCAGTTCTGTATCGGCTTTGTTGACATTGGACTGTCATTGGACAAGATGGCAGGCAGTGAGACTCAGCTCACTCAGCCGCATGCGATTGCCTAAAAAACGTCACTGTAAATCTAAACAGCCAGAGTCGGTAAAAAAAATTTAATATGCAAATGTAAAATTGGACGGAGAATTCAACTGTAACTAGCATTACCACAACTGGTAATGTTTAAGGCCTAAAGCCAACCTCGAATTTACCGCTATTTTTTAATCAAACTGATGACTAACAGAAAAACAGAGGAGTCCGGCTGTCGTAGACATGCGCTGTTAATCGGGTTCCCCCACGCTGTTTTCAGCTATTTATAGCTGGTCCAAATTCCCACCAATGGCAAAATTTCATGAGAGATTTGGACCCATACGGAAACCAGCCGAGATTTCCCGAACAAGTTCTGAACGGTTTCCGGGTAACGGAACTTGCCGAAAAGACCGCAAATTGTCGAAACTGTAGTCCCTAGTTTAGCAGACTCTCTAGTCCTGCCGGCACTAGTCACCGATATGGTTAGTTGCCTATCGAAGTTGCAGAACCAACACCAACAGCCCCTAGCTGTTGTGTGGTTTCTCTAGGCAAATTTACGTCCAGTAGTTTGCCATTGCTTCTGGACGGTTGGCCTTCATGATACCACTGTCGAAACTAATGCAATGCGCATGGCCCGCAGCTGCTGGGATCGAACCCGGCATTACGAAGCGTTCGCATCGACTTAGCCACAGAGCTGACCACCGACTTAGTGTTGTATGATAATTATGAATAATAAACCAGGTAAATTTGTAAAATAAATATTGGTATTGCTATTGGCACTATTCCTGCACAGAGTAGCACACTCATACTTCTTAGCATATTTATTTATCTTACGTTTATCAAAACTACAGCGCTACTTACTAGTGGTAGTTGTTAACACCTAAACTTTAGGGCATGACATCTTAGGAACCGGGGTCCTACAGCTGTGCTAAGATGGGTCCAACTATCTGGAAACTGGCTGAACACTACCTGCTTAACAAGTATAAATAAAAGCATAAGTAGTGATCTAATTCAGGGGCTAATACCAGAAAGTAAAATCATCCACCCAGCAGTCAAGGGTATTATTAGATGGTGCCCTTTATAATGAAGTCTATAGCACACATGCAATATCTTCAATTTCAAACCTAAAATGCACTTCAAAACCTGTACCTAGTTTGTGCATTTCACTTAAAGGGGGTTTGTATTTTGTGCTTCTTTATGTCATTTAAACTCATAAATTAGAGTAATGTACCTCATGAGATATAGCAGTCAGTTTGTAAATTTGGACAAAGAAGAAAAATAGATTGCATAATTTAATTACCTGGCATATTCTCTGTATCTTATCAGGTACCTGCTATTAATAATACTACAGTAACAGTTGATTAAATTGAAACAAATAAATAAATAATTCCAACTGAAGCACAGAATCGACTATATTCCTTTTGCAAACTATTTCACCAGGATAAATGTTTCTTCTTTCTTTAAATTTGCAGTGGGAAAACATTGCTGTAAAAAAAAAAAAAAGATTTGTTGTTGAGTATAGTTGGGTACTTAATTTATAACTTACCCCTGACGTCACGACAATGTCACGGAAGACATTTCCAATAAATTCTAGTGTGTTCAGGTTGTAGTTTCTCGCGATTTATCAACAGCCAAGTTTAGGGTTAGGGTTAGCATTGGAAGACACTAGATGAACACTAAAAAAAAAACACCACACAACAGCACATTTCCACCCCTTGAATAGTAACATGACCAAAAATTTATCTGTCTCTTGATATTATGTATTATGATTAGTTGTCTTTTCGTATTCCTGATATTATATGAACATACATCTTTGAATAGCATGCATTCCATGGCTACTCCTCTTTAGAATATTGATAACTTACACACTGGAGTTGAAAGATAATTTTCAGTAAAAATCTAAAAAAAAAATTTAATAACATGCGTTGCCCATGTTTTTTTTATATGGTTGTAACATGTGCACCAATGGAGACTTAAAGGAAATGTTTTTTTTTTTTTTAATATATATAAATTGTTTTTTAAAGATGCTTTGAGTGTGTAGCTCTACATTTAATTATTTTCAGGAAGTTTAGATGGTAATATCATTTACTATATAAAGATAGTTTTAAGTTTTGTTGGATCCCAGAAACATGCATTATGACAAAAACAAAGCTCAATTTTTATGGTGGCACAGTTGATATACCTATTGATGATCAATATATGACGTATTGGTGTAAAAGGAGATGCAATCCCTAATTATTTCAAAATAATCAAAGCGTAAAGAATAGATCACCATGTGGGTGCTGGGGCCTGTTTGTAGGGGAACAAGAACAGACCTACTGCCTCCCCAACAAGCATATCGTAAGAATCGACTAATTAGAAGCTTTTTTTTTAAACGTTAGTGCATCTGCCTGAGAAGCGAGGAACCAACAGCCTGGGCAAAAAAAAAGTCAGCTCTGTAAGGCTAATGTGCATGCAACACTCAGGTTCTGGAACACGACTCAAGTCCAGAGATAGACAAACAAGTAGAACTTTCTGCTGGAGTTTACAGGCAGTGAACATGAAGAAGAAGAATGAAAGAGGTTAAACAGCGGCAGAAAATGCAGGATAAATCAACAACAAAAAAGTGAAAAGGTAGCATGATATTTATTCATTGACAATAAAATGAATTTCACTGCTAGAAAGCATTGGTTAGCTCACAATCAAGCCAGCCACTCTGTTGACTGATTTATAGTAAATAATTCTTATCTGTAATATAGATCCTCAGTAAAAGTCATGTTGTCTTACTCACAAGAGTACAAAATTTGTGTGTTCCATATCCTCAGATCAATTGACATGATAATTTAAGTGCATTCTGTGGCAGCGTGTTAATTTTTCATTACCTCTTGTATGTTACTGAATTTCTTTAAATTCTATTTTTTTTTGTGTGTGTACAGTATTATTTTGTGTGGGTCACTTTTTATTGCTTCTGTTTTTCACTTACAGATACTTCAGAAACAGGCTAGGATCTAAAAATCATGTCGTACTACCGAGGATATGATTATGAGGATGATAGGGGGTATGGTGGGTACGGAGATGGCTACCGGAGCAGGTATGATGACTTTAGGGAACGAGATCGCTATGGAGGGCGACCTGACAGAGACCGTCGAGGAGGGGGAGGAGGAGGAGGACGAAGGGATGGTGGATATGACAGAAGGAGTGGTGGTTATGAAGGCAGGAGAGATGACTTTGACAGAAGGAGAGATGAATATGGCAGAAGAAGAGAGGGTTATGGCGGAGGTGGTGGTGGAGGAGGAGGTAGAAGGGATGGTAGTAAGTCTGGCTGGGGCGGCGGTGGTGGTGGTAGAAGGGACGACAGACGGGGAGGGTTTAGAGGTCGTGGTAGAGGAGGTAGAGAAAATGGAGGCCGCGGGCGTGGTAACAAAAGGAGCTTTGGTGGCGGCGGCGGTAGGGGTGGCTCAGCCAAGAGACCAAGGCTAACTGATATCGACAACTGGGGAAAATCTGACCGCCATTCGGTAAGTTCATATTTATTTTGGGTTCAGCATTTGAATTTTTTTCATGTTACTTTTTTTTTCGATGCAGATTGAGAGTGATGATGTTACCTGGGCAGCACAGTCTACAGTACTGTCCCAGAATTTATGCTGTAGAGAAGAGGAACTTCTCTGACATTAATAAGGCTCCTAAAAAATGGATTTATTGTGGGAGCCTTTTCCTAACACAAGGCTGACTTGCTTGCTAGTCATCTGGCTGTAGGCTGTGACTAGAAAGACCACAACAGGGCAACATATTTTTTCTAATTATTTATATAATTAACTCCCATATGGGTCCAGGGCCACATCGTGGGGGAAAACTAGAATAGACCCACTGCCTCCCAGACAAGCATGGCGTATGAGTTGACTGATTTGGGTATCCATTGAAGTCAAGGTGTATCGGCCTGAGAGGCAAGGAACCAGCAGTCAGCATACAAATAAGCCAGATCTGTAAAACAAATACTTTGCTGCTACATTTGTGATTAGTTTGTTTTCCTGCTTTTCAATTATCAGAGACTTCTAGCCTGTCACTGTAGGAAATATTAAATTAAAAGTTAATTTTAATCGTTAGCACATCATGGAAATTAGTATCTTTTATCTTGCTGTAGATGCTGCCTTCTTCAACTCCTGTCTTTTGATGTTTAACACATGCTGTCTATCCATGCCATGTTGCCAGACTGGCTGTTTTATTTAAATGCTCTTGTCACTAAAAGGTTTCATCAATACAGTGCAGACAATCTAGGATGTGGAAAATTTCTGTTGTAGAGAACAATTTGTTTATCCCATGAATATCTGATTTTCATTGTATATTTTCTAGGTAGGGTTGTTTACCTAGGAGTCTAATCTTATATAGCATTAAAAAATATTTGCTTTGTCTGGTCGTTATTGAACTGTACAGCTCATTAATTTAAGTTTTGCATTTACTGTTTCATGCTATATATTTAAAATCGAGAATATATGTTGCTTTCTGTTACAGATAATGGAGTCACATTTTCTGGAAGCAGTCCCAAATAATTTCCAGGATGAATGGCTTTGCATTGCCTGTCCAGCTGGCAAGAGAAGTCTACTGGTGGCTGCAAATGTGAGTGGCATGTTTCTTCAAAAGTTGCAGTCGTCTTCTCTGTTTGCTGTCCTGTCTTTCATGTGGCATGTTTCTTCAGAAGTTGCCGTCGTCTTCTCTGTTCGCTGTTTGTCTCTCTTTCAAGTTATCTTTTCTATTATCACATGTTCTAGTGTTTCTCAATCATTTCTTTTGTAAAAAAAAAACACCCCACTTGTCCAAGACATTTTCAGCATTCTGCATTTCACATCTCTGTAACTTGTTGTATTTTTGTTGTTGTTGCTTGTGTTTTAATTCTGCGCCCTTAGAAGCCACAAGACTCAGATTTTCTGTTGGGTCAAGTTCCCTGTATATGTCACTTTTCTTACTTGAAATTTATCTAAGATGACATAGCAAGAATATTAACCTGAGGTTAGACAAACACCAAGTGATGAAAGAAGAGCATCCCACATACCTTGGAGTCACACTTGACCCGCAGCTCAGCCTCAGGAACCATATTGAAAACATCAGGAATAAGGCATTGAGGCGGTTACAGTTATTAAAGAGACTTGCAGGTACATCATGGGGATCAGACAAGGAAACTCTGAGGGGCTTATACCTAGGATATGTTCGCTCTGTGATAGAGTACAACAACTCACTGCTTACAACTTGCTCCAAAACTAACCTAGAGACTCTTGACAGAGTACAAAATAATGCCCTCCGATTAATCTGCGGAGCTATGCAGTCTACACCAACTGCTGCATGTGAAATCCATACAAATGTGGAAACCCTCGGGTTGCGGAGAGAAAAAGCCACTTTAGAAATTTATGAAAGATGCGTTAGGAAAAATCGTAACCATCCTAATAGACATCTTGTAGAAAACTGGGAATCCAAACAAAGAATAAAGCACAAATCGGTTTTACACTGTGTGAGTGAAATTCAGGACAGATACCACCTCCCAGAAAGACGTCAAGGAATTCAGAATGTTGCAAAAAACCTACCACCACATGCTCGCTTTAAAGCTCCAGAAGTCCAAACTAAATTGGTAGGCGAGGAAACCAAACAGTCCGACCCAATCGCTCTTATAAACTCATCACTAAATACCGTTGATTCTTACCCCCAAGAATGGATACATGTCTATACTGATGGATCTGCATTTAAAGCTACCATTAAAGCAGGTTACGGAATCTACATAGGTTATCCCGATGGATCTGTTGAAGAGATTTTTGATGCATGCGGGGAATTCTGTTCAAACTATGAAGCTGAAATAATTGCACTGGAAACAGCAGTATACCACCTAAAGACTGTAATGGATGTTTACCCCTCAAAGGTCCAAAATATTGTCATCTTCACAGATTCAATGTCTGCCCTTCAAGCTCTGGAGGGCAATGAACGCTGCAGAACTGACATAGCCAAGATAATCCTGGATGCTGATCAGCTTATTACCTCATACAACATCAGAATAGTGATGCAGTGGATTCCAGGTCACTCCGGCACACCAGGTAATGACAGAGCTGACAGATTGGCAAAGAAAGGAGCAACACAAGAACAACCACCTACAGCGACAACCCTCCAGACAGCAAAAACACTGATAAAGCTATAAACAAAGAGACTTGGTTGAACAGATGGGCCATGGGAGACACTGGAAGAGAGGTTTATAGACATATGTCTGGCCCTGATCCTAATGACAGCATTAACCATCTAACAAGAAGGGACCAGGCCACCATCTTCAGACTTAGAACGCAACATACTCCACTCAATGGACACCTAAACAGAATACAGCCACAACACTCCCCAGAGTGCCAGCTATGTAACTACCCCTACGAAACTGTTGAACACTATCTCTTTGAGTGCCCAAAACTCAGTGAGACCAGAAGAACGTTATTCCCTCCGAGACCAGACAAGTGGAACACCTTGTACGGAGGAAAAGAACAGCTTGTGAAAACATGCAAATTCCACTACATGGCATTGGGCCAAAGGGCGAAAGCTCATGCGCCGCTGGATCGATAACAACAACAACAACTAAGATGACATGTTTTCAAGATGCAAATGTAATGCTGTTAGCTAAGTTTGTGCCTGCACAGCATTTAGTAGGCCAGGATATTAATATATTTACTAAAAATATTCAGGATTTTTTGGGGAAACCAAATGGCTGTAAAAAAAAATTGTCATTTTTAATTTCCTGCAGCCTCAGTGTTAGAGATGAAAAGATTGCACTATGAGTCACCTGATACATATTTTAATTTCCTGTTCACTTTAAGGTGTTAAAACTGGTTATGTGCAGTATGAAAGCATTCATTTTCTGTCTTTTGAAGATGGATTTTGTTGCATAAAATGAAAACAGTATCCTTTTCAATTCTGCTCTTTGCCTCACTGATGAGTCTTCCATCTCTGATGCTACTTAATTTTTTTGTAGTGTTTTAATGATTTGTTTGTTTAGAAAACTAGACACTGCCCCAGTGAGTTAGGGTGCCTTTATTAATTACAAGAATAAGACAGTGTTTTGTCACAGACACACCCACACTCATTGGATGTTTTTAAAACAACTGACCGTCTGCAGTATAGAAATCCAGAAAGCGACAGTGTCCATCATGGTAGAGGCAGCTGAAGGTCACCATGACAGTTAGATGCACCAGTGCAATCTTGTTGCGCTTCAGTACAATCTGGTTGACAAGTCTAGCCCTTAAAAATTATTAAATGGATGAGAAAGAAGTATGACAACTCGCATTTAATTATACATTTGACAGTGTCCTTATTTTGCCTTTCTATACAGAACATGACACAATTGTACACTAAAGAGGGGCAGCCAGATCTGAAATTTAAGTCTTGTCTGCCAAATGGAAGTCACCTACAAAATGAAGTTATGAAATATCATGGTAGGTTTCTTTCAAAACCATCAGAAAACAGGAATTATTCTGCTTTATTTGTTTCAGCGTTGCTGCATTATTTGTGTTGTTGACTGGCATATCTGACTTTCAGTAATTTTTTTTTGGGCTGACTTGCTGGCTTTGTAGCTATACTACAGTATTTGTATGGTGACCCTTATTATATCCAATGGTAAAACAGTTGCATACATGCAGTGTGGGCTGCAGAGAGACTGGAGATATTGCTTCGGGAAGGTTTTGTCACCTGTCTCAATTAGTAAGTAAATTTCACCCCACCTGGACATCACACAGAGAGATAGGACCTCTCACACCCTGAAGATAACAATGGAAACATGGGTTAGACAACCAGTAATCACTACCTCAGTACACTTTTTCCACATTACACATCACTCCGGTTCAGTGCTCGCAAGAAACCAGCCACCATTATGTGATGCCAATTATTTTTGCGACTAAATGCCATGTGAAACTGCACCGGCCATCAATATTAATATGATCAGCTGTTATCCTTTCGTCAAAGGATACCCATACAAAGACAGGTGAACACAGAATACAGTTTATCCTCAGACAGAATATAAAGGGCAAACACAGTCGTTCCCCTCCGAAACCTTCCACATCTAGAAGTCGGGAGTATCCGCGAAGCAAGCGGAGCTTTCTAGGTGGTTATGAGAATGGAATAAGAGCCTAGAAGTTCATACTTTGATAAATCAGTTATGTCTGGGTACATTCATTTGATCGGGCTTATTATCCAAATGATAGTTCGATGTCTGTAAATGAACGTAAGGGGACATCTTTTACAGAATAAAAGATGTACTTTGTAACAGAAATTGCCCTACAATTAGGATTCAAAGTTGGCACGACACAGACAAGACCACATACATGTACAGGCCTCGGTGATGCATCCGGGAAATATGACTTAAAATAATTAAAGTACAACTTACACATACTCTTTTGAAATTCCCTTGGTGAATAGGTTAAGTTTCAATGCAGATATATAAAAGTTGTCAAAGAATCTTTGCTGTCCGTCTTCTGGAGTTGCTTCTAGAATGATGCCAAAATTCAAATAGTACCAGAAGCAGGAAAGATTACTTGCGCCAAGATAAGTGGTGGTTTGGCCATGAAAAGTGGCTTTGCCACATAGGAAAAACATCTGTGAGTGAATTCCCAATATAACTCACTCCCAATAGAATAGTCCATATCTAAATCTAGGTTATTTTCATAATGGGGTCTATGGTGTGAATGGAACCATAAGTGTGTAGAGGTGTTATTTAAACAGGACAGCAATCTGTTTATTAGTTTTCCATTTTATTTTGGACAGCAGGAGAATTTCTAGCTTTAGCCGTGGGTCTTGTTCTGCCTTGTCCAAAGACAATAAGAGTTCAGCAGGTGAATGCCAGGACTTAGTGTTCTTAGCTTCTATTCTTCAATGCATGTACATGGCTAGTGATATAAAAGGAAGCAAGAATGGGAATGGTAAGCTTTTGTTTTCTGGAAGATAACAGAAGACACTGTAGACATAACATGCATCAAAAGAAACAGGGTGGTTGTTTTGGGCATCTTTTTAGAATGAAGTCTGACTGAGAAATGGCACCACTGCTATCAGTGTCAACTATGGACGCTGTCTTCAGAAAAGAAAGATAGTCAACGACAAAAATTAAATGTTTAAAACAAAATGGTGCAGGTGTAATAAGGAAAGATCGACTCCAGCGACAAGGATATCTAGAGGATAGTTGGCACCTACCATTACTGAACTCTGATAGATCAGCTGGTTTGACCATATAACAAGATTGACAACAGACAGGGCACCACAGAGAGCAGTGTTATACTCAAACAGTGGTAACCAGGCCAGAGGTGGATCACGGAGTTTTGGAGACGCTGTAAAGTATTATATATGATATGAACAGAAGTACCCATTCCAGTGATATCTTCCTGCCCTGATGCTGCGAAGCATTCCAGGAGTATAGACACAAGAGAAAGAAATCTTACCAACTGTTTACTTAAAATACAGCCCAAAAGTAAAGTCAAGGGATGGTCAGAAAAAACTTAAGCAAAGTAAGTATTATATAATTTAAAAAAACCATATTACAATAAGCTTTGGAAGGTCCTTTCCAACCACAGATGGCAGATAACAGTGATTCAATGTTTGTTATAAATTTCTGATTTTCTGAACCATTTTACCGGTTTTCGTTACAGATAAACTGCGTTACTTCCTATTTTCTAAGTCATGCTTTGTCTTGTTTTCAGACTTGACCATTCTAGACTCTGTGTACTGTCCAGAAAAGAAGAAAATTTATATCCTGGATTTGTTACACTGGAAACATTTCCCATACTATGAAACTGAGGTACAGTAATTTATACATACACACAGAATGTGGAGCTACATTGTTAGGCTGATTATAAACCTTTTTTTTTTTAACTTTGCAAGTTTAGTGACAGATTTTTGAAAAGAAGTATTGGTGCTGAAAAGAAAGTGACTCCTGAAGAGAACTGATTGCTAAAAAAACTTGAGTACATTGTGGTGGGGGGGGGGGGGGAGGGGAGGGGGTGAAAAGATACAGTGAGAGACCAAGGGAGAAGTTGCTGGACTGACTTCTCAGAATAGATGTCTGAATTTACACTAGACAGAAGGTTGTGAATAGACATGACACTACGTGGGCTATAAGAAAAACTCAGATTAAAGAAGTTGATTGAATATCAAGTAATAGACTTCTTGGGCAATGTTATCGTCACATATTCACACTTTATGCCACTTAGTCTTTTTTAATTATTGGAGACACAGAAAAATTGCTATTTTTAATATATAATGACTTGATTTTTTTGCTGCAGACATGACAGATGTTGTAATATTTTGGTTGCTTTTCCAAACAGGCCGAGTTCAGAACTTACTTCCTTCCACAAAAGTTTGCTTTGCTGAAAAACCCAGGGGAAGTATCTGAGAACAATGAGGTGAACATTTTGCTTCATTTCCATGCTTTAAAAATGATCAGTAATCAAGTATTTTATTGTCTAGATGGTATTTAACAACAGTTTAAGAAGGAAGTACTGTTTATATGTGTTTATCCAACAGAAAAAGACACATTTAATTTTGGTCATTAATAAATCAGACTTGTTAATAATAAAACATGGCAAACTGGTAAGATTTTCTAATGGAACAGCTGAGGTGTATAAAGGGGAAGTTGTTATACTGTACACTGGTTGTTTTTTCCCTAGGAGTTTTAATAAGTAGATAGTGTGAGGGGAGGGGTACAATAACTACATAGTTATATATAAATACTGATGTATCTAAAATAGCATCCTATGGGTATTTGGTCTGAACCTCTTTGTCTATTTTTGTGAAGAAATATAAACTGAACGAATGGTAGATCAGCGAGCTTCACGAGCAGAAAATGAACATTGCGAATACAAAGCCTTTATCAGCATATTACATAAACCTATTTTTCGTTCATTCGCTTGAAATAAATTCTGTATATCTGCAATGCTGTCTGTGGTGTGAACTTCAACTGTATTTTGTAATTCACTTAGCGACCCGTAAAATATGGCTACCACCAGTGTCTGTCTTGGCCAGAAGTTTTTCAATCTTTGAGGATGTGATCTGTTGTCTCAGGTACCAGTCGAAATGTGCACATGGCTGATTCGGCAATCTTAAATTTTGTTTGCATGTGGCTGCCAAGTCAATTATGCCCTGTTGCAAGGCATAGAATAATGAATTACTCTGGTCTGTCCTTAATATGTTAATCATCTTGTGCCAATTTTGGTAGCTTTCTGATTGATTATTACATAAATGAAACAAAACTACACGGATAACCAAAATCACTTAACTAATGTATCCCGTGGCAGACATTGACTAGTGTCTTGCTAGTGTGGAATGAAAACATGTGCGGCCCAGAAATAAATAGCAAAATAATTCCAAGGGCCATAACTTAGCAGTTTTCTGTAGTTGACGGCGTCACTTAAGAGTGATTGTGTGTCTTCTTCTTTGTCAAGCTCAACATTTTTGTCCTGCAATAATACATTGCAGCATATTAAAGGTTCCATCTTGGGGGGGGGGGGGGGGGGGGGGGGGGGGGTTTAGAATATTTGTTTAGCTGCTGGCCAAATATTCAAAGTTATTCTTTTCATTTATTTCAAAAAAATATATTTTCTTGGAGTCAGTTATATAGTTTGCATTGCATAGCAGTTTAATAGTGAGAGGTACAGTAGTTTTGGCTTAGTTAAGAAATTACTGAACTAGCGGCTCTTAACAAGCATTTCTAAAAGTGGTATAATCAATGATGTCCTAAAATTGGATGCATCGACTGATAAAGGCATATATAATAGCCTAGCTTTAAACCGCAACACAGCATAAACCTTTGAACACTGCAGCACATGGTACACAAGTCTGTATAACCTTTTTGTGACTTGCAGAAGTTTTTACTTTTTATGGATTGAATGTTGAATTAAAAATTGACAGTGCTCAGGACAACCTCATAAGCGTTCCGTCCCCATCTTCAACAGGAAGCGAAGAGTTCTTTCCAGCTTTGAAAGCACCACTAACTGATTGTATATCTGTCTCGCCTTTCCCCTAAGCATTGAGCACCGGCCAGATCCCCTTGTAACTCCTTGCAGTGCCATTGTTCCCAGACTGTAATGATCTGTCTGTGCCTCCGCACTGTTCAGTCTCTCCCAAAAAGCTTTTCATGGACCTGGACAAATAACAGACTGTCATGTAACTGGCTACTTCCACACTTTGTTTAGTAATGGTTTTTATAGCTGGAAGAAATGTCATAGATGTTTGTTAGATCTGTGTACAATTTGTTTCACCAGTATCCTTTGGTTGTCTTGGAGAAGTTCCCTTGCACGGCAACTGGCATTGAACAAGCACTGAAACAAGCAGATTACAAGGTGAGCCATATTATATGTAATTTCCAATGGTTTAAAGGAGGCAAAGATGACCAAAAGAATCCCTAAAACATTGATGAGAGGGGCCAAAGCTGCTGAACTGGATTCACTCCATGATGTTGAACTGATTGCACAGGAAAAAACGGAATGGAGGAATAGACTGTAATTACTGTGTGGCTTATAATGGCGCAACAGGACAATGATTGAATGGTTTTGTATGTTTCTCTTATTAAAGGTATCTTGAGATTCTCTCTTTAAAAAAATCATGAATGGCTTGTCTACCTTGGGGGAGGGGGGGGGGGGGTGCGGCTGGTAGTGAGTGTTTAAGGCATTGGGTATGCAGATTTATTGAAGGTCAGTACAGTTACTGTTATCAGTTCTCGTTATGCCTAGTGGCACATGAGGCTTCAGAGAAGACTTTCTATGCTTTCATGTCCTGTGCAATCTTCAATGCAGTTTTCCATGTCAAAGATGCCACATTCAGGTCACTTTCTATCATTCGTCTCCATGTTGTTTTTGGGCGCCCCTTTTTCTTTTTCCCTCTGGTATCCATGTGAGAGCTGTTTTGGCAGGTATTTCAGGATTCATTCTTATAACGTGGCCAAGCCATTTCCATCTTCTCTTGGTTATCATACTGTCTAGAGTTTCTTGGTTTGTGACTTGAAGTAGTTTAGTGTTTGAGATTGTATCTGGGCAGAAAATTTTGATAATTCTACGTAGACATGTATGGTGGAAGGTGGACAGCTTGTGTACATCCTTTTTGGTCATTCTCCAGCATTCTGCTCCATAAAGAAGAACTGGCAAAATGATGCTCTTGTAGAGTCGGAGTTTCGTTCCTCTGCAGTAACTGTTGGATTTCCAGATTTGCCTCATCCTTCCAAAAGCAGCTCTAGCTTTGATCAGGCATGACTGTATGTCTTCCTCTGTCCCTCCGAGTAGGGACGCCACACTGCCAAGATATGTGAAATGTTCTACATTTTCAAGTGATTGGTAACTTATGGTCACTGGTTGTTGGTTTGGACTGTTTGTCATGATCTTAGTTTTCTTTGTATTTATTATCAGTCCCACCATTTCTGCTGTTCTGTGTAGTCTGTTACTTTTCTCTTGTATTTGTTCATGTTTATGTGATAGGAGTGCTATATCATCTGCAAAATCAAGGTCCTCAAGCATGGTGAATTTGCAGATGATATAGCACAATTACTGTGACTTGGCACAATTATGTCATTAATGTGAAACATATCGCTGAGATGATTGTTGTTAACAGAAATAATTATTCAGTCCTATTGTTGGTAAAGTGGGTCGCAAATGACATCTCCCATATCTGATTATACTTAGATTAAATGGTTAACTAATAAGTCTCTGCCAGGACTATTCAACTAGCAGACCGCGGAGGCCTAGCAAGTTGCTGTGGATAATCGCCAATTGTATTGGTGATTTTTCTGTGCTGAGGTTTCAAACTGTTGGCCTCTAAGTAAATTTAGCTGAATAGCATTTTCTATACCATTCTAGGGTAGGCTTCTGTAAATCAATTGCTTGGACAATTGACCTGGGCAGATTTGCTTGTTTTCTTGTTATGAAGTAGAAATGGTAACAGTTGTCAAATAACAAATTTTCCATGTTTTGTCATTGATTCCAAATTGGCTTGCTACTTTGTTTCAGGTGGAAGGCTTATTGTTTATCAATAAGAAGTCAACATACGAGTGCTCGGATTCTCCAAACAGCTTATTCTTGCGCCTGGATCAGCTGGAAAAATTCCTGGGAGTTTCTGTGCCAGAGGGTGTGACTTTTACAGAGACAAGTCCTAATGATGCCAGATGGAAGGAAGAACTGGAGGAGAGGAAAAAGGTGCAGGCAGCCAGAGAGCAAGCAGCAAAAGAAGCAAAAGAGGCGAGGGAGAAAGAGAGAGAGGCAAGAGAGAAAGAGAAAGAAGCTAAAGCAGCTGAGGGCGGAGAGGAGGCTGAGGTTTCTGCTGGAGGAGATGCTGCTCCTACAGAAGAATATAATACCGAAGCAGATTTTGTTGGGACGGAATATGCCTCTACAAATGAATATGCAGCTGAAGGGGAATATGCCACTGGTGGGGGGGACTACCCTGCTGGGGGTGAGTATGCTACCGAAGGCGAGTATGCCACTGCTGGAGGAGATTACACCGCTGGTGGTGGGGAGTATGCTGCCCCCACAGAGGAATCGTACCCTGCAGGAGGAGAGTACTCAACAGGGGAGAATTACAGTGAAGGCTGGAGCACTGGTGGAGACAACAATGCTTATTCAACTTCAAATTTCTACGGTTAAAAGCCAGGTATTGTATCTTGTTTACGGAGCCAGAGGAAAGAGCTTCAGTTTGTGAGTTGAATGTTTCTGGGAGATTTATTATAAAAAAAGACAGAATTAGATTACCAGTAGGGGGCAGCTTGATTTAGTTGGAATAATTCAGAATTAGCTATTTACTGTAGAAGAGGAACAGGTGTGAAACATTTAGTAAAAAAAATGCTTATTTTAAATTAGCAGTTAAGTAAACATAAACATCTATTTGCCACTAGTTGCTTCATATTTTATAAAGAAATAATCAGTGGGGAATTTTTTTAAAATAAGGTGTCCTATAAATTTGTGTACTTGCAAATTGGCTCAAAACATACCCCAGCAGTTGCGTGTCATGTCACTTGTTAGCGAATTTCCAACAACATATGTCGGCTTTATTCCGCTCAAGTAGATCATGTATATTTGCAAGTGGTTTTTAAATGTGTGGATGATTGGGCTCCATCTGCAGATTATAATTGTGTTTGAGAGGTTTCAGCACAAGGAGGGTCGGTCAAATATGTTTATCGTTGATTGTTTTCAACTCATTCTTCACATGTTTTTCTTTTTCTTTAAAGTTGAGTGTATTGTCTGTAAATCAGAAACGTTGTGTAATTCATTGTGAGATGAGTGTTCTGTGTTTTTACAAGTATGAGTATACATGCACTGCTATTTTGTTTAGCTATTTTCCTTACTTTCTTTATTTGTTCTGGTATCTGTTTTGTAGCATCCAGCCTAAAATGTTGTTCAAATAAACTAACATGTTAAGTTACAGTCTGACACATGTTTGCAAAGAATTTGTTTTTAATTATGTAACAGGCACAGTGTTCAATTTCTTCTCTTTTTCTGTCTGTCATCTCTTGACTCTTGATAGATTGTAGGCTATCATACAACTTTTGTAGTTTTTTGTTGTTGGTTGGATTTAAGTTTGGGGGAGGGGGGCAGTTTCATCTCAGTCGCCATTATTTGCTGTGCCAACATCTGGTGTTTTATACTGTTGGCATTCTTCGCTTAGCATATAAAACAGTTGTGTGTTATGTTCTGGTTTACAAAATAAGTAAGAGGAGATATATTGACATTCTGTAAAGAAAGCGCAGTTAGTATTGAAAGCTTCTTGAAGTGCTGTCTTGTGTCGTTGACACTACATCAGAGTATTCAGTCCTTGTTTCAAGAAGATTGTGTTTGAGCACTGAGTGACAAATGAAAAATGTGTGGCTGCATGAAAAGTAATACTTCATTTTGACCTGTTTGGAGTAAGAATTCACTCTGCCATAGGCATATTGAGAAATGACAACATCGCTGCACATGCACTTGGCTGAAATTTGCTCTGAAGTGACTGACAAAGTGCCAACAACATAAAAAGTCTGGTGTTTGGCATGTTCTCTAAAGTAGTCCCGGATTTAATCAGTAGCACAATGCTTTCCCCAAAACACACCCAAACGCAACTACTTCCTGTAAGTTCTGTAGTAGGCTTTTCACTACAGATTCATCTTGTAGGTTAATCCTGAGATTTCTCCGGTATGTTGGTAAACATTTTAGAATTGTCTTTTGTCAAAACCATTTTTTTATGTCTAGCTTTAGTTTTTTTTTGTTATTGTTTCTGAATGTATTTTGTAAAAGTTCTTTTTTTTTTCACTTTCAGAATTTGTTCATGAAGTTTGCCCATCAATTCATTTATATTATTAAATCCTGTTTTTAAAGTTCTGGAAATTTTTTAACTGACATTTCTAATTTGCATCAGAACCATGCCATATATGTTTGTATTTCATCAATGTTAGTCTTGTTTTGGAATATCATTTTCATTGTTGTGGACTTTCTTGCCCTTAGCAATCATGTTCTGGATCTTCTTGAGAGAGCAAACTTTTGGCCACAGTTTGTCATTAAACAGAACTGAATACATTATGTATAGACGGAAGCTGATGGGTATAAGACTAACCACAAAATTTGACTGGAATTTTCGTAGCGTGCAAATATACATGTTTCACGCACACAATTGGTTTCCGCCATTTATCCATCTAATTAAACATTATAAACACACACAAACTGTGAGCTGTTGTTTTACATGGATGTGAAACGGTCCTTGGAAACCACAATATTGCTTTGTGGAATTCTGTTGGTTGTGTAAAATAGGTGTTGGCAAAAAATGAGTTATGTATGAAAGGCATAAAAATATTATGGTCTCGTGAAACAAAACATGTCATCCACACTGTTACCATTCATCTGTGATATGGCAAGATTGCTGCAAACTTGTAACCTATCTTGTTTAGCTGGGGAGAGGGGTGTGGTTACATATGTATCTTAGAGCATAGAGTAAACAATGAATTTAGTTTTTAGTTGGGAAAATGTTTAAGAGATAGTTAAATTGATGACACATTCATCTGCCATCATCCTCACAGCCAAAGCACTTTTTATGGGTTAAAAACAATTGTTTGTTCGCTATTTTTTTGTGCAACGAGTGTAACAAAGCAACTCTAGGCAGTTGAACAAAATAGTTACTTTGTTGACTGGCCAACTTATAGATGAGTGGTGCTTTTTTGTTTTGTTTGTTATCTTAGCCATAATAAAATTAGTCTCCTTTAATAGTTGAACTGGTTTTATTTTGGTGGGCTGAGAAATTTGTCTTGCACCTGCTTCTCCCCCTTTGACCCTAAACATTGTAAAGACTATGCTTACCAGTTAAAACAGATGCCATCTGTAAAATTAGTGCTTTCCATTTCTGGTGAAATCTTGCATCTGTTGATTTCTTTGTGGTGTTTGCAAATTAGTGCTGTAGCTAGGATTCTCAATGAATTGCTGTCCCCACATTGAACATTACCTGCACTGGATCTCCAGTACGCTCAGTCTTTCACCTTGGAGGTGCTCTCTAAGACTGGTCTTTATCTGTCAATTCTCCCCACTTGTATCACTGTTTGCCCCTTGCTTGCTTGCTACTTTTCCCTCCAGTGTAGTTGTATGGGTAATGCGAAACCTAGAATTCTCCCTCTCATCATCATCATGTGCCCTGCCAACTGACGTAGGCGCTCATGCATCTCCACAGATCATGATCCCTGATTGCTTGGAACAGCTGTCTTGATGCCAACGTTTTAGCCCATCCAGCATTATCTCTCGTGGTCTGCCTCTACCCCCTTTGATCTTTCCAGTTCTCCCTCTACTTCACTTTATTTCCAGATCTTTACTCGCTTTGAAGTTACTGTGTTTAATTATTTCCGTGATTGTTTTTATACCATTCTCTTTTCATCTGAGAATCTTGTAGCTGAAATACAAAATCTTGTCTGACATCTGGTGGTTTTCTTGCCGATGATAGTCAACTGGCATTAGCTTTTTGATTTTGCTAATCTTACAAGATAAGCACCCCAGTGGCTTGACTACATTTATATGGTGGGACAAAAGATCCGCTTGATCCTTATTTCAGTTAGAGTGCATCGTGATGATGAAGATGCATTTTGCTGCACTCAGTATTTGATCGCCACTTTGAAAAGGGCTGCAATTTTTGTCTGGGACGGAAATGGGCGGGGTCTCCTCGTGGCTGGCTTCTGCTATCAGGTCTGGCAAAGTCCTTGCTTTCTCCGTTTGGTGAGCGGTCCGTAAGGATGGCGGCGTGGTTAATGGGCTCTCTTAAGTGGCTGCGCGGTCTGTCTTCTGCTGCTTTCTGGGCTGGAGCGGGTATGTGGGTCAAAACTGGCGATTACCTTTTTGTTTTTTCATTGTCTCGCGCAGCTGAGTAAGGGCTGCGTCAAGCTCATCGTAAAGTCTTATCACATTTCATGCGTCTGTGTATCTCTTCGGGTAGTGGGTCTTCTTTTCGAGCTCCTCCCAGTCGTAACAGATCCCATAGCAGCCTTTTTCCATCACAAACTTGTGCCGGTGTACCTGCTTCGCTGATTTTCCTATTGGCTACCACTACTTGTTTGAACAAGGCCAACTATAGCTTTAAATTTGGCCATTTAGGTCAATGGAAATTCCCGTTTTTGTGCAGCAGGTGTGTGTTCATTATGTTTATCGAGTAGATTTATACACAAATTAAACCAGTTTCATTAATTTGCAACACGTTTAAAAAAAATTGTCATTTAGAAAATAAATAAGTGTGCTATTAGATAATAAAATTATAATAATGAAAATAAGCATGTCGTAATACTCTACTTCGTAGGTCGACCCAGCCTTGCTTGTGTACCAGGTGCAGTCCTAGAAAGCAAAGCGGCCTGTATGATGCTCATCACATCACCCACCAAATGTCGATTGGTCTGTAAAATATAGGTCACGCATTAAAGGCCCGATGCGCCTGAAGTCGACTAATTAAGGGTTTTCTTCAAAGTCAGGGTGCATCCACATACAAAACAAGGAACAAAATGTCTCCATAAATTATTGTTATCATTTATGTACTTACGTCCTTTTTAGGACGTAATTTTTTGTTATTTGAAGCCCCACTCTGGCTTTTTCCAGGGGCCGCAATATAGGCAGGCCATAAATATGGCCAATTGTCTGAACGTGGTTTCTGGGACCTCTCCACAGTGATCCTCATGGTGGCACTTTGTGTCATTGGGTGTTTATCGCTTCTGTGATGTCCTAGTGGGGTAGAAAGTCTGTGTCTCCATAAAAATAAGCCAGATTTGTAAAATGGATGTACACGCAAAACTCAAGTTCTGGAACAAGACTCAAGGCCAGAAGTAGACGAAAAACCAAAACTTTCAGCTGGAGTTTGCAGACAATGAACCAGAAGAAGAAAAAGAAGATGATAACTAACGTTAATGCTGTATGCTGTTCTCGTCTTTCACTTTTTTTATGTTAAAACCACACTGGGTTTAATAACGTTACCGTCATTCCAATCCATTGAAGAGTCTTGATCAAGTTCTCTTGCCTTCTTACCTTATAGGCCCAGTGTGTGTATATGTGTTTTTCTTTTTTCCTTACCTAAGTCTTGGTTGTCTGACTGTAAATGATTGACGAGTGCTTTGCCAAGAGAAAGCAAGTACATTGGTCAAAGGCAACACTTTTTGCAA